AAAAAGCAGATCGCTTTTTTGATGTGCTTTGGCAGCGTGGACACTTTCTTTCGGAGGAAGTTTTTTCGGAAGATCTCTTCCAGAAAAGTTTCTTCCAAAAGAAACCTGCAGTCTAGATATAGCCTCAGAGAAAGTCTGCAACCTCATATCCCATGAAACGACCCCAGGGGTGGTCTGTGTTTTCCATGATAGACCAACAAATGAACCCCCCCCCAGACATACCATTCATGTCATTCCACAGCACACTTCCTCAAGAAATATCAGGACTCAGAAACTATTCTCAACTCCCATGAAATGACCCCAGGGGTGGTCTGTGTTTTCCAAGATAAACAAATGAACCCCCCCAGACAGACCATTCATGTCATTCCATAGCACACTTCCTCAAGGAATATCAGGACTCAGAAACTATTCTCAAATCACTCACTGTACGAAGGACCAACTTCCTCCAGGACACAACTGACCTCTTCCAGAAAGACCCCAACATTAATCACCTCCCTTAAAACACTGTCCTTGCACTATGGCTGTTACTTCCATGTACACCAGCAAATGATGGCATCACTGCCTGCCTCAAGTATCTACAAGACAATGGACAATGTTTATAAATTCATCAGAAACATATCACCAAACTAATCCATTTCATCCTCACCCATAGTAGTTTTTACGTTAAACAATTTGCCGAAATCACGGGAACAGACATTGCTACTGAGATGGCTTTCCAATATTCAAATTCTTCATGGTCCAACTCAAGGAAGAGTTTCTGGACAGGTACACAGCAAAACCAGTGATATATTAGAGGTGCATGGATATTATTTTCCTGTCCTAGACAGATTGTCATTTAAATCAGGCCCTCAGAGCTCAGAATGTGTTCTGGGAAGTATGAGACGCACTTTTGGGGAAGGGGGGGAATTGCACTCATTTTACCCACAACCGTGAATGATGAGCACAACTTATTCTTGGAGCTATATCAGGTCCTCAGATGGCACTAAACATTTGACTCTAGTTGGTGATGTGCACTTTGATGGCTTTCTATTAAGCTTCACAGTATTGCACAGAGTTGTTGCCATCTGTACATGAAATCCGTTTTCTAAGATGTAGCATGTACATTTAACTGTAAGCATCTACCACAATCTGTTTTTCTTTTGCTATTATTACAATGGATCATTGGTTCGTTCATGGGATTCCTGGAATTGCTCTGCTCCAGAAAACAGGCACACTCCTCACAGTTGTAACAACAGTGTGATGCCATTAAGTAGTAGATCACATACTGTATACTATTTGAATCAATGCCTTATTTTTAATAGTGAGAATTGTATGGGTTTTTTCAGTGTGTATATATAAGTCATTTAAATCAGGCCCTCACTTCCCAGAACACATTCTGAGCTCTATGAGATGCACTTTTGGGGAAGGGGGGGGACTTGCACTCATTTTACCCACAACAGTGAATGATGAGCACAACTTATTCTTGGAGCTATATCAGGTCCTCAGATGGCACTAAACATTTGACTCTAGTTGGTGATGTGCACTTTGATGGCTTTCTATTAAGCTTCACAGTATTGCACAGAGTTGTTGCCATCTGTACATGAAATCCGTTTTCTAAGATGTAGCATGTACATTTAACTGTAAGCATCTACCACAATCTGTTTTTCTTTTGCTATTATTACAATGGATCATTGGTTCGTTCATGGGATTCCTGGAATTGCTCTGCTCCAGAAAACAGGCACACTCCTCACAGTTGTAACAACAGTGTGATGCCATTAAGTAGTAGATCACTTACTGTATACTATTTGAATCAATGCCTTATTTTTAATAGTGAGAATTGTATGGGTTTTTTCAGTGTGTATATATACTTGTATGGCAGGAGGAGGGTGTAAACTACTATAGTCACAAAAGGATGTGTGTGATCAAATACGTTTGAAAACCACTAATTTAAAGCACAGCAAAATTCTTGCTTTCAGTTCCTCCTCCTTTTGACCAGTTTTGGCCAATATACTCGAGCCTGCTCACAGCAGCACAGCTGTACTGATATAGCTGCGCCACTGTAAGATCGCTTGTGTCACTGCTCTGTGCTTACAGAAGAGAGCTGTCCTGTTGACATTAGGGTTGCCAGGTGTCCAGTTTTGAACCAGACAATGTAGTATTTGAGCTTTCTGTTTGGGAAACAAATTGAGACAATATAAATGTCCAGTATTTTCTAAATAAGATGTAATGTAGATTATGATGTAATGTCTAGTGTGTCCAGTATTTTTGTTGAAACCATCTGACAACCCTAGTTGACATAATAGAACCATCTAAATGAGGGGCAGTAGCTATGAAGGTGGGAGAGTGTCTCCTGTTGACATAGTGCTATGCACATGAATGCTTATGCTTTCGAAGTGTATGTCAATTGGGACAGGTTTTTTCACACCCTGAATGACATAAATTTTGCTGACATAGTATAGCAGTGTCCTTAAATTGCTCTGAGACTTTTTTTGCCTAAACCTGGAGGATGTGATATGTCGCTCATAAATGAGCTATAGAGTGGTTCCCATTTCAGTGTGATAGCAGTTACAAATGCAGTGAAGCTCGCTATAACAATTAAAAGGTAAAACTAGTTAGTGGGATGACGTTACGGTGCATAAATCTGTGGAATCAGTATGCACACGGAAATATTTTATGATTTATTAGAACTGTCTCCTGATTCTAAACATTATGAAATGATAAATAGTGTTTATCCTGTTAGATTTACTATACTTTTCACCTGCCTGTGAGGGCCTCCCCCATTTTGAAAGACAATGCATGAAACTGCTGCTTCTAGAAAACCTGCCCACAGCATGAAATGAACCTTTTGAACTGCCAGGCTGACTCTGAAAGTAGTATGATTGAAAGCCACTAGGGAGAGTAAGCGGGAAAGGAAATAAGTGCTCAGGAAGAGGGTGAAGAAAAGCAAAAGTGCAGAAGAGTGAAGGAGATAGTGCCATGTTTCGGAGATTGGGGAGAGGTGGCTGTTGGTAGACAAGCAGTGCTGAATGAAATGGTTTTGATACAGACACACACCTATAAAACTTCTCTTCTGATTTTGCAAAAATTATAACTTGTGACACTTGTATCATTGGCTGAAAACAGAATTTACCAGCTACCTTCTTTCCCCATCTCTAGTTTTTTCCAAGTAAAAAGGAAAGGTCCCACAATGCAGATGGGAAATGCACACATCAATCAGTAACACACCCTGTTGCTGGATTATCTCCTGTTTTATGAAGAGGGCATTATAGTCATCTATTTTTTTATAGTCCTTTGTCAATTACTGTACAAATCTTAACAGATATTTATAAAATTCAGCATATTTTGGGGCGGAAGACTGTGTTAATTTGCCCACCGCAGTTCAGCGCAATCATAGTAAAGAATTGGAGCTGGATGGTGACACTGACATAAGAGCAAAGAAATACAGTCCAATGGAAATTGTCATCTCTGTAGAGGAGGGGCTCACTAGTACACTTGCTGAAAAGTGTTTCTTGGTAGCACAGAATAATTTGAAATTTTTAAAAAAATCCTCATGTATTGTCATGGAGATTTAAGTTTAATGAAATTGATGATCTTAGGTGTTAGCCTGTTTTAATTATTTCATATGCATTTTCTCTTACACACTTTGATTGATTTGGAGACATGGTTCTCCGCCACTTATATATACAGAATCTAATAGTGCTGGTCAGATGATTGATATGGAGACATGGTTCTCCGCCACTTATGTATACAGAATCTAATAGTGCTGGTCAGACTAGGAAGAACAAACACTTCAGTAACATTTTGTATTTACGAAGGAGAATTAGTTCAGCTTGTCTGTATCCCTTCTTGATAAAGTTAACTGACAAGCTTTCTGGTAGCTTTTGTGTTTACATCTTATTTAGGCTTATTGTGGCTTAACAAGTGATGTCTGGATTTAAAAACAAATGTATCTCCAGTTTGAATGCAGCTTATATCTGCAATGACAAAGTTGTCTACCACAGTTGGCACTAATGGTTAGTCTTGCTGGCAGTCTCTGCAGAGGTTTCACTAGCCATGGAAATGGAACTTGAATTGCTCAAAATTTGAGTTGCTTTGAGTGCTGTTCTCCTATTCAGTGATTACACAGAAGCCTTAAATCTCTAAGATTGTCGGTCCTCTTAGTTCTCTAAGTGCCAACAGTGTGGTTGTTGCATGAGGCATAAATAAAAACACAAATGAGGAAACATAAACATCCCCCCCCCACACACACAAAAAGGTGCAAAAGTAATCTTAAGATTAGTAAAGCTTTATTTTCATATAGTTTTTTCTCAGTCTTATCTGAGAAATCTGTAGTACTTAATTCTCTTTATTGGACCCTTTTCTAAAATATTTGTAACTTGAAGCTTTGGTACATCCACTATATATTTTAGAGGGTTTTTTTGTCTGATCAATAACTCCTCCTATTTATAGGGTTGCCAGATACTTTCACAAAAAATACCGAACATGGCAGGAAAAAAATCTCTTTAAAAAAAATAAATAACACCAAACACTACACCTTTAAATCCTGACGCTCCCCACGCCCCTACCAGATGTGGCAGGGGAAGAATGTCTCAAGCGGCCTTCCATCTGAGAGAAACAAATTTTTCTGTTTTTGTTTTTTGTTTTTTTAACTGGACAGAGGCCGCAAATACCGGATACCTGGCAACCCTGCCTTCTAAATGGTAAGAGCTGGGACCACCAAATTGGCATGCAGCTTCCTCTTATCATAACTTAAAGCAATGGAAGGGTTTGGTTGTGCCAGGAATGGGATTTCTTCTTATAAAACCAAACGGAAACAAGACAATAACCAAAGAAAGTACAGTCCTTAGCGTAACCAAGTGAATGTTGAGACTGAACCAAGGTGAGCCAGAAAAATAGGATGAACCTGGAATAGGATTGCTTCTCAATAAACCTTCCAGAAAAGAAATAAAATAGAGAAATTTGGAATAGTGCTCTGTTTAGGCACAGATGAAAAACCAATGCTTAAGGTTTGAAAACACAGATGGAAAAACCAATGCTTAAGGTTTGAAAACTGGAAGAAAATATTATTGGAAGCCAAATTGATTATAGCCTTTTTTAAATCAAAACATGGCAAATGATAAGAGTTTATAGGGATGAAGAAACAAAACATGCTTGATGGAATTCCTGAATTATGGACATGAGCTATGATGGGTAAATCTGCTAGTTTAATATAATTTGAATGTTTTCAAAAGAGAAAACCATTGTTTTCCCATTATGATTCAGCTTGATTGTATTTTCATTTAAAAATTACATTAAAATGCAGTAATTTTACATTTATTAAAGATTAGATTAGATTCCATTTTAGTAATCTGGGAAGAGGAAATATTAGGCTTTGTCTACACTACAGAGTTAAGTTTGACATAAGGCAGCTCAGATCAATCTAATTCTGTAAGCATCTACACTAAAATGTACTCCCACTGATGGATCTTGCAGGTCTTTTTCGGGTACTTCTCAAAGCTTTTGCAACATTGCTCCAGGCCTTCATGATGAATTGAGGGGAGCAAGTGATTGGGAAAAAGAACTTTTCAAATATTCAGTTCAACATAATGGTAGTACATTTGTGTTTGTTTAAATGCATGAAAACGTAGACTTTTCCTAATTATTAACAATGTACAGCATGTATACGGGATTAGAATGCATATAAAACAGTTCTTGAGAGAGCACATATGAAAAGGGGTCAGAGCTGAGCAGAGACTAAAAAAGTGGAAAGAATTCGGTCCCACTGAAGTCAGTGAGAGTTCTGCCACATCTTTCAGACTTTTGTTCTAAATTTGTGTATGTAACTAGATATTCTTCTTTGAGGAGTGTCCCTGTGGAAGCTCCACCTTAGGTGTGTGGGCACCGCAGCGTGCCTAGTTGGAGATTTTTGGTAGCACTGCCCTTTGGTAGGCTGTGCACATGAAGCAGACGGCATGTGCTGTGTGGCTACTATGCATGTGCAGCCAACTGTCCCTTCAGTTCCTTCTCTGCCAGCACCACTGTTGGTCGGAACCGCAGTGCTCGCCAACCTTTTTTTCTTCAAAGGACTCTTAGTTCATTCTTCTTAGTGTAGTTAGTTAGTTGTTCCTGGTTCTAATAAAACAGTTAGTGTTATTATTTTATATATATACATCTTTTCCTTGTTGAGGCCGTTTTTTGCCTTCACGGTCTTTTCTCCCTGAGATGCCAGCTTCCCTAGGCTTTAAATGTTGCCTGTTTTGCAGGTTTTCCATTCCAGTTTCTGACGGGCACTCACAGTGTCTGGTACCTGGGCCAGGCTCACATCACAGCCCAGTGCCAACACTGCAAGCAGTTAACAGCCTGGACGCAGAAAGCCAGGGAGCAACAACTGAAGCTGATCTCCCTGGAAAACACTGTAAGACCAGCCTCGGACCTGGAGCTCCACCCCACCTTGGCAGCCCTCCCCAGTGGTTATGCCCCATCAGGCTCTGGCGTCAGGGACTCTTCTTTGTACCAGCCCAGGAAGAGAACCCATTCGTTAAGTAAGGGTGATTCCCCCTAAAAAAAAAAAAAAAAAAAAATCAGTACAAACACCCAAAATGCCCCCCGCACTGGACAAGGAGGTACTGGGATTGTCAGGCTCCAACAGTTCCCGAGGGTCCAAGGATCTCATAAAGGCAGCTGCTTGGACACCAGAGAAGTCAGTCAGCACCACCTACCTCCAATACGCTACCAGCACATGCTAAGTCAAAGACACCTTCTTCTGATGCTCTGTCTGCACTGAAAGAACTAAGATGCACTCCATGCCATCGGTACCCATGCCACCCCCGGTGCTGAGAACACAAATAACCAGCACCAACGACTATGCAGTTGGCACCATCCGTACTGCAGGTATCTGTGGTATTACTCTCCACGCTCCCTCTGGCACTGACTACACTGGCACCGCACCCGTTAACAACAGCAGAGGAGCTGAGAGTGATGTCCATACCAATGACCCCCTTATTTGGCACTGATGGTACACTCACATCCAGCAGGTTTACTTTGTCCACTGCTGCAGAATCGGCACCGCCATTGTCGAGTGACTAGGACAACGAGCCTCTCAAAGGTGCCCATACACCAAGACACTCCCCGCCCAAGCAATCTCAACTGTAGCAGCAGCAAGTGTACTAAGCTTTACCCCAGTGGGAACCACCCCTATGATTGCCACCTCCAAAGCCGATGCCAACCAACTGGCCATACTGGGATCCTTGGGGCCCCTACAGAGCCTAACCACCACAACAGGTACAGCCTGAACCAACCCCACCTGTGCCATCCAGGGCCACCTCTATGCCATCCTTGAACAGATCAGTGTGCCAGGAGGAGGACAAGCCACCATCAAGTGACGATGAGTCCACCACCTCTTAACATGCGCCAACACACATCTCGTCATCCTCCCCTGACGACACACTGATGCTTCCTACTCCTTCTCCCACAGCAGGACACTACTTTAAGTCCTTCCAAGAGCTTTCAGGAGGGTGGCGAATGTCCTGGAAGTCTCACTAGACAGCCTCGCTGAGACTCAGAACAAATTAACCAATATACTATATGCCTCACCAACAGTCATATTGGCCCTCCCCATGGACCTAGCCGTCATGGACCCTGCCAAGTCTGTTTGGCAGACACCAGCGGCAATACCATCAATCTGCAAGAGATTAGATTGCAAATACAATGTAGTGCCACAACTTCTTGTTCTCGCATCTGGCTCCTAACTCCTTAATGGTTTATGCTGTGAACCAAAGGGGAAAACAGAGTGCAATGAGGACCACTCCCTATGACAAGGAGTGACAACACCTTGACCTCATAAGAAGGAAGACATATTCTTCTGTGTCCCTCCATCTATGCATTTCAAATTATGCAGCTATGTTTGACAAATACACACACTCAATTTTTTTAGTAGATGGCACGTTTTAGTGATCTCTACCAAAGGACAGAAGAGACCAGGTCAGGGCAAATATCAACTAAGGTACCCTGATTTCATGTACAGCCTTTCAGGCCACTCTAGAAGCTTCTGACACTGCGTCGTGCCCCATTGCAACAGCAGTGGTGATGAGGTTGTCATGGCTATATTTGTCTCGATTTCCCTCAGAGGTCCAGGCAGCTGTAGAAGATCTTCCTTTTCAGGGAACTAAGCTCTTTGCCAACACCTGTGTTCACTCATTCAAAGACTCCCATTCCACCTTGAACACACCAGGCATCTACGTCCCCGCAGTAATGCACAAACAGGGAAGAAGTTTCACTCAGAGACCCATGCCTTTTACCCAAGTACAAAGGCAATTCAATAACAGGAGGAGGCAGCACCAGACTAGAAGTAGGAGGAGGCAAACCTCTGACTAACCGTTCATCTCTCAACCATCAACTTCAAGACAAACATTTTGAAGGCCAGGTCAAAACTCTGGTGACACCTCTCTCCTCAGGGCAGCCCCATCCTGTTCAATCAATGTGTAGCACCCTTTTACCATCAGTGGTCCTCCCTCACAACCAACAGATGCTGGCTACTATCTCAAGAGAACATTCTTCTCCAGGAGATTTACCACCTACTCCATCTAGGTACAGTGGAATCCATTTCACATTGCTACAAGGGTTTTACTCCCACTACTTTCTCAAGTCAAAGAAGTCGGGGGAGGCCACATTGCTACAAGGTAAAAAGGTTTTACTCCCACTATTTTCTCAAGTCAAAGAAGTCGGGGGAGGGGAGGGTGGAGACCAAGTCTCAATCTCAGGAAGCTCAACAGACACACGTGACCACAATGGTTCAAGATGATCACCCTATCCACTATAATCCCACCTTAAACAAAGAGGATTGGTTATCAACTCTCAGCCTCCAGGATGCATAGTTCCACATATCCATTCATCCTGCACATAGCAAGGACCTCAGATTTGCATTGGTAGTGCACATTTTCAATATACTGTGCTGCCAGTTCAGACTCTCCACAGCCCCACTGCTCTTGTCAAAGGTGTTGGCGGTCGTCACTGCACATCTACACAGGCAGTGGGTCTCCATATTCCCTTAACTTGATGACTGCCTGATAAGAGCACGCAAAAGTCAGGAGGCACAAAATTCAATCTCTCTGACCAAATCTCTTTTTCAGACCTGCAGGTTACAGGTAAATCTTTCCAGGTGCAAACACCAACCAGCTCAGACAATGGCATTTATTGGTGCTTACCTCAGTTGTGTGAAAGCCATAGCATCTCCCCCACAACAGAGGTTTCAGACTATATGGGCCCTCATTTTACTAGTTCAAGCCACTCCGCAAGTCCCAGCTAAGACTTGCCTGCAATTACTAGGACAATGGCGGCAGCCACGTCAGTAGTGTTGCATGCCAGACTACATAAGAGACCAATGCAACAGTGGTTGAGGATGGTATACAAGCCACAGGACAACAGAGGCAACTAACTAGTAACAATACCAACCAGAATCAAACACTCCCCAGACTGTTGGGCAGACCTAAAAAACGCCTGCGCTGGTGGACCTTTTCACAAATGTCCCTGTCCACGACAATTATGATGGATGCCTCTCTCTTGGGTTGGGGAGGCTCATCCAGGCCTTCTCATGACTCAAGGACAACAGTCTCCACAAGATTCCAACCGGCATATAAATGTATTGGAGCTCAGAGTGGTATTCTATGCATGCCAACATTTCCTACACTAAGGATGTTAAGTATCAGGTAATTGACTAATCGAATAGTCGATGCATTTTTGCATCAACTATTAAATTAGTTGATAGGGCACCTCCCGGCTTTAGAAGGACTCCCTCGCTGACCCCGGGCTCCATGCGGCACTGCTACCTTAAAATGCCGAGGACACTGGGCTCCCTGTAGCATTTCAAAGCAGCAGCACCACACTGAGCCTGGGGTTAGCTGGGGACTCCCCAACTGATCCTGGGCTTCAAGTGGCGCTGCCG